TCTCAGTATTCTTTCATGGTGGCTCATGATTAGCAAAGCCAATTTGCAAAGCCACCACCAAAGACGTTGACCGATCTTTAGCTACGGCTGCATGAGAAATGCGCAAGCACGCAGAGTTTTTGGTTCGCAAGTGGACGTGACCCATCGAGTCTATCAAAAGCTCCGAAGTGGATTTATACATCAAGTTTCTCTATGCTCGCTTTTCTGTACCCCCAACGGCCTTCAGCATGAGACTCAAAGAGCTCAAACTGCTGGCACCAGCAATTTTGCGAAACAAACTGGTTGTGAGGATCTCTTCTTCCTCAAGCTACACATTGGACCAACCCGCTTCAAGATGTAACTGTTTACAAGTTTCGTCTTCAGCGTATGCCAGGACCTCCCAAACAAGATCAGGTCCTGCTACACATGGGTGCATGGCACCGATCATCTCGGAGCCATTGGCATTTTCAGCTTGGGTCGAGTTCTACCCACTGATATAGATGTGGCCAGCATTCCGGCCAAAAACGACACCTTTTCCTTGTATGGCCGAGTCTGCGAAAAGTCCAGCAATTCGTATGCGAATTGCATCATTCCACTAAGTTAAAAATTCAGAAAGGAACGCTGTGGGGGCCCAGTTTTTCTACACACAAGGTTTTGCGATCTTTTGCATCCAGAAATTCCTGCGGGATAATGTTCGGCGGACACCTGTCCACTGCACATGTTCGGTCCAAAAGTTCCAATGTCATCTTTATCGTTTCCACCACCGATTAGTCCATTCGCCGTCTTCGGACCGGCGATGGGCAGTGAGGGCCTGTTGTGCCAGGATAGACGTTGCGTGGCTTTTGGCACTCAGTGAAGCAGATTATCCGCTTCAATCTCAGGAATCATCAGTTCCTGATTCTCAGGCAGATTCTACGCCTGCAAGTGTTGCTGCCTCGCCCCTAGCTCTTGAAGACAATTGGGGCGATTGGCCAAGATTTTCAACAGAGCCAGGAAAGGAGGAGCATGAATCATCAAAAGATAACCCCTGCCTCCCTCCTAGAGTCTCTTCATCTGAGCAACGGTGGATGGCTCACGAAGCAGCTCTCCAAGAGGAAGCTCAGCTTCAAAGCATGCAGGAACCATCCGGCCCACCTACAGCCGATGACAAATTGAATCAACTGGTAGCTGAAGCCAATGCTGCAGGTGGCACTACTTTAGAAGCTGCACACAAACCGCGGCCAGTACCAGTATCACTGGCTTCCCATCTGTTAGTACTGCAGCTTCCCGAGTCAAATAGCTCCTTTACCGGTATCTGCATTGTTTTCCATATGGATAGCTGTCAAAATGATGGTCCCTTTTGGGGTACCCTAAATAATAGGTGCCGTATTATAATAAGGACCCAAAAAAGGATCATAATTTTGACAACCACCCATATAAAGGCAGGATCTTGGTGCAACAGGATGCGTGCTTGTTGCACGTTTCACCCAACTCTCTTGTGCATCCGCTACAACACCATTTCAGTCTCAGTTCTAGTCATAGCCATGGCCAGGAATCACAAAAAGACGAAATGCCGGCCTAAGCGCCGATACCGACATCAATCTGCCACTTTTACGAGTTCATTTACAACGGATGACTCATCCAGTACTACTAGTACTTCCAGTTCGTCGAGATCTGAAAGCCCAAAACGAAGCAACATTACAGGGTCGAGTTTTGAATCACGTCTTTCGCCATTGATCGGTCGCTCCCACTTTCAGTTTCGGTTCCGGGACAATTCTCATCAAGGAACCACAGATTGATGCCAAGGATGGAACAGTGGTGTTTATTAGCACACGGGATAAGTCCTCTGTAAGAGCCACTCAATTCAAGCCGTGCAGTAAGTACAAACTTCGTGGCCCAAACCACTACACTATTGCTGCAAAGAAAGTAGATGCTCCATTTGCGCAGGTTATCGACGAACAAGCAGAGCCAAGCTCACGCTTAGAGTTTCAGAACTTTACCACACATTGGCAAAGCCAATAGAAGAAAAAATGATGAAGTACTCGATGGCTATTTGTCGCAAACCTGAAAATAATGCTGCTGTGCTATTCCTCTTGAGCCTTTCATCTTTGTACACAATGTCAAGCTCTTCATCCTAACCAGATGGCAGCCATGAGACGAACTGCAGATGATGCTGGCACGCAAGAACTCGATGTTCTTGGCTTTGCTGATTGTTGCGATCTTGAAAAAACCGTCTTTGTAACCACTCTGGAGTAGCGGGAAACCCGGTTTTCCACCATTGATTTCCATGTCTAGTGGAACCTCCATTAAATCTGTGGAGGTCGGGATCTTGGAGGCTCGGGCATGATACTGGGCTGATATGAGAGCAAAAAGGCTACGAAGGGGTGAAAAATGCAATCCGAGACTGGAAAAACCATCAACCAATCATGACAAAAATCGGTTTTCGAGTGTGGAAATCTGCCATGGATTGCATATGGGAAGAATTTCATGCGCTTGCCGAAGGCGAATGAATGGTGGTGGAACCACCGCTCCAATACGATATGGTATGTGTTCAGCTATCAGCTGTATCAAGTGCTGTACATTGTCAGTGCTCCATACAGCAAGGTCCAAACCGAGGTGACCTTCATAAGGCACAAAGTGGTCAATGGCCACATACACAGAGCATTGAACAATATTCCCTGGAAACGCAAGCGATCCACATCACCGTGGCTGGGCAGACTTTAATTCATGCCACTGTTACCGGCAGTCCATGAGCTGATGTTCTGCAGGGACCTTTTGGAATGAGCTTTCTGTCTCAGCAACTGCAGGCATAAAATATCCATCAAGCATGCCTTGGTACAGTTTTTCTGGCCATTCATGTCCACATGTGTGTTTGCCATTTTCAGCAGCTCGCATTCCTCAGTGTGGTACGCCTTTTGGTTTTCTCCAGGCATGGGCCAGTAAGATTTACCCGAAGCATACCGCAACACGCGAGCAGCTCCGGCCGTCTACTTGTCATGTGTGAGTACGACCACAGCCGGCCGATGCGATGATCCGCAAGTTCGTTCGTTGCAACAAGAACCTACCTCGCGCCAAGGACATTTCATACGTGTCCTGAAGCCAAGCTGGTTCCGTCGGTACCCACTTCGAAAACGGAACCAGCATGAACCTTCGTCTTAATCACAAAGAACCCATCGGTTCATCTCACAGTACAAAGGTTTGCGACAGCCTCAGTTTTCACACGTTTACACTTTTCACATCATGCACCGGCTGGAAAAACACTTGGCAAGTGCCTTTGCTTTCTGAGAGCTCGTTGTTTCTGTGAGTAACTATCCATTCGGATCAAAAGTTTTTTCATTAGATTTTGCCATGAAGAGAACAGCGGCGCAAGCAGGATTTCCAACGGATTCTAATTTGGTACGTGTCGAAGTACATGTTCCACCTGATCGCTGCACATGACTTTCCATCTCAACTGCCACTCATCGGGTACCGTGGACCACGTCAAGAAAATCCTCCAATACCGCGTAAACGAAATGACCGGTAGAAGACCGCAGCTACATCGTTTCAGTTGCACGGGGCTGGCCGACATGAGCCTTCACTGAGCCCATTATTGCTTTCAAGACGTTAGAGACAGTCTTCTTTGCACGAGTCGTGCCAGATTCCCGAGACTAAAGCAGTCTGGCCATATTGGTTCGCTTACTTGAAGGTTTCAAGCTTTCCTGCTACACACACACACACACACTCCTGTATGGCTTTTTGTGTGTTTGTGGAACCCGGTTAAGACTTTGATGTATTTCCTTTCTGTTGTTCAATGTCATTCCAGCCGGGGTGCAACCCCGTGAACATAGTTGGTTGTCCAACGGAAAAGGGGATTCTATGCCACGGCTGATACTGGGTCTGATCAACCCAGCGTACTTGGAAGTCATTCTGCAAATGTCTTTGCATTGTTATGGCACGCAGAACCCCAATATGCTGCCTAGTGGCTGTATCTCTTCGCTTCTGAGAATAGGAGTGTCTTTTGATAACAAGTCTATCAGAGGAAGGATTGTACGAGTGTGTGTCGGTGTGTGCGTGTGTGTCGGTGTGTCG